TACATCTCTCTCCATTGTAGTGGTATTTATAAATTGACGTAAGTATAAAATTAAAATCTTCACCAATTAGTTACTTATAAAAACATTTTATTGTAGCATAGCTCCGATGATGGCTTTGTAAAACCGAAAGCGCTCAGATAGGAATTATTAAAAAATATACACACTTCAAAAATATTTTTTTGCCTTTTCTTTTGATTTAAAATGAAATTATTTACACGAGCATCTCTGGATGTAATCGATTGCTGCTTACAAATTGCGACGGTTAATCAGTTCTCTTAATCGTTACTGTAAGTTACTGCAGAGATTTGATCTCCTCCTCCTCCTAAGTGCCTTCTCTATTGAGGTTGGCGATCAATATGGCAAATTTCTCTCTGTCCTTAATGGATTAAGTCATTTCCTGTTGTGTGAGTCCAATCTCTGATGTTTCGGAGCCAGGATTTCTTCTTTCTTCCTATATCCCTTTTACCCTCGATTTTGCCTTCTAATATTACCTGAAGCTGCTCAAATTCCTTATGGCGCATTATGTGTCCTAGATATGACGTCTTTCTAATTTTGATTGTATTAACCAGATGAGGTCGTGTGTTCATTATTTCCAGTACCTCTTTATTTGTAGTTTTGCTGGTCCAGCTTATTCTTAGCATTCGGCGGTACATCCACATTTCGAATGAATTCAGTTTGTTGACGTCATACTGTTTTAATGACAGTATACTCACAGCCATATAGTAGTAGAGACCACACATAACACTTTAGTGTTCTTAACCTTATTGTGATTGATAGCTTGGGGTTACAGAGCATTTTACGCATGTTCATGAAGCCAGATCTTGCTATTTCAATACGTCTTCTAATTTCTTTTGATTGGTCTAGCTGACTGTTTAGCTCTTTGCCCAGGTATATGAAGCTTTGGGAGCTCTGAAGGGTGATACCATTGATTTGTATGTTGGGTGTAATCTGTTCATGGGGGTTCTTGTGAAATACCATGATTTTGGTTTTGGAAAGATTAATATCCAAACCTAGTCTGTGACTTTCTTCTGATAGTATGTTCATCAATATTTTTAGTTGGTCTTCTGTTTCTGCTAATACTACGGTGTTATTTGATAGTAGATTTGATCTAACAGTAGTTAACTGTTTTGCTGTACAATGTTACTAAGACGTGATGATCGTATTCACGACACGATTGGTAAAGTCTTCATGAAGACTAATAACTGATTGAGCCTTTGTGCAAGTTTGATTATTAAATAATTATATAATAATGCAAAATTAATTACTCATTTGTCAACTCACAATGAACTGGTGAATAGTGAAAAACCTTAATATTCGTCACTGTACAATTTAAAAGTTTTTCGAAATATGGTAATAAACTCGAGAAAGCGTTTTTTTAATTTTCTACAAAATCAAAATTTTGGACTTATGTTGTTTTTAAAATAAACGCCTCAATGGTAAATCTTGAATGCTTACCATATCAATGACCCCTGGAGGCTGGGGCATAAAAAATAAACTTTAAAATATGATGGAAATAAGTACACGTTGTTAGAAATTCTGTCGAGCTTAGTAAGAACAAAGTGGAAGTCGAATGTTCTCATTTAATTTTTAACTCATTCAGCAAGTCTCGGTGAATTGTGAACTACCGGAATTTAAGTGCCGCAATTTTAACCGTACATGAGGGAATCCTTTCATCGATGTGGTAATAAAGCGTTTATCGACAATAAAAATCTTTGAACTTCAGTAAAGAGCGAAAAGCTCTACTCCTTTTATTCGGCAAGGGCTTTTAAGCGCCCTATAACAATGATGGAGCTATTAAGATTCTTGTGCTTAAAGTTTAATTCTGGGGCAATTCTGGAGAATTTGAAATATATTACCCGCATTCATGTAATAGATGATATAATCCCACTAGAATTCTAATTTTAGCCAAAAAAGAGTTTCTGCAATATATACAGGAGGAGGTTTACTACGAAAAATCTGCAAAATTAAAGTTGCTATTTTTCATTTTTAATGTAGGTTTAACCTTTATGTAATATCTACGAATCTTTTTGAAGCGAAGCTTTTATACGGACTTTTACTTTTATCTCTATAGTAAAGTACCAAGGCCAGCGTCACGAAACTAGTGCTACGAGAAGGCATCACGGAAAGCGTCACGAAATAGTCGGTATTCACATCGATTCACTACTCTCGATCAATTCGTTTCTAGTCATCATATATTTATTCTAAGCAGGTTTGAATTAAAAACTGCATGAAAAATAACTAGATTTTACTCAATAAATTAAGAACTTTCTTTTCAAGTTTGTACAAATGTTCATTCTGAATGAAAGGGAAAAAATTTCTCATTCATCATCATCACTGACAACCCTTTTTGGGTCTTGCCTGTTCCAGGATTCTCCATTCTGATCTGTTTCGTGCTTTTTTTCTCCAGTTTTTTATTTTTAAGGTTGTTATATCATTTTCTATTTAACAATAAAACACTGAAAACTTTGTTTTCAAACTTCCACAAAATTTATTTTAACTTAAAGAATTTTTTAAATTAAAGATAAATAAGACAGAAAGAAAAGAAAGAGGTGGAATCGGTCGAAACTAAATACAGATAATGCTAACAAAAAATTCTGCACTAAATTGGAAGAAAAACTACTAGTCCTAAAACCATCGAGCATAGATAAAACATGGGAAGACATAAAAGATAGTATCTTAACAACAGCAGAGGAGACGATAGGACTAATGGAAAACAATAAAAGAAAGGATTGGTACGATGAAGAATGCGAGCAAGCTAGTAAAGACAAGGACAAAGCAAGACACAGGTGGGTGGCCACAGGGAAACAAGAAGATCTCCTACACTATAAAGAGAAGAAGAAAGAGTCAGACAAATGCTGCAAAAGAAAAAAGAAGAAATGGATCGAAGAATTACTGCAGGAACTCGAAGCCAATAGTAATGACAATGTAAGACTATACAAATACATAAAATCACAGAGAAAAAAAGAGATACCAGCAAATATTGGAAAAATAGAATGGGAAACACACTATAGAGAACTGTTTTAAAAAGAAAGACGATGCTGAAAACGCAGGAAATGAAGAACAAACAGAAAATAGGAATGGAGAACAATCAGAGCCTCCCTCATACAGCGAACTATTGGCGACTATAAACAGATTAAAGACAAGGAAAGCAGCAGGACCAGACGATATTATAAATGAGTTCTTTAAGAATGGGGGAGAGGAACTAGCCCACAGAATCCACAACCTAATAGAACGAATATGGGAAGAAGAAAGCATGCCGAACGACTGGAATTATGGTCTGATAACACCAATCCCTAAAAAAGGCGACAAGACGAAATGCACTAACTACAGGGGAATCACGTTATTAAATACAATGTACAAAATATTAACTAATTTGATCAGACAAAGAATAGAAAAAGAAACTAGAACAAAAATAGGTGAATACCAACATGGATTCAGAGAAGGTAAGTCAACAATAGATGCAATACACATTGTAACGCAAATAGTCGAAAAAAGTTACGAGCACGGAATAGATCTACATAAACTGTTTATTGACTACAAGCAAGCTTTTGAGAGTGTAATAAGGGAGGAGCTAATTAAGGATATGAATCAATTAGGCATCCAAGAAAAATTAATAAGTCTCACGAAAATGACGATGAAGGAATCCAAGGCACGAATCTTAACAAAGGAAGGCCCGTCAGATGAAGTACAAATGGAGGTAGGTGTCAGACAGGGAGACTCCCTGTCAACAACATTATTTAACATTGCCATAGAGGGCGCAGTAAGAGCAGCCAAAATTATGGGAACGATTATCAAATCTTCAGCCCATCTGATTGCGTATGCAGACGATATTGCACTGGTTACTAGAGATTTAAAAACCATGCAGAACATAATATTAATACTAGATAAAGAAGCAAAGAAAAGAGGGCTAGTAATAAATCAAAGCAAAACGAAATACCTCAAGTGTTCAAGAGAGAATGCGAATATAGAGAAAGAAATTAAGCTTGGTGCATATACATTTGAAAGAGTACACCGTTTCAAATACCTGGGAGTGATGGTAAATGTCAGAAATGATAGAACAGATGAAATAAATGAACGCATCCTACTGGGTAATAAAACCTACTGGAACTACCAAAAATTCTTGAAAGAAAAACACATTAGTAAGAAAACCAAATTAAAAATTTACAAGACTGCAATCAGGCCAGTGATCACCTATGGTGCAGAAACGATGTGCCTAACACAAAAAAAAAGAAATGAGGTTAGAAATCTTAGAGAGAAAGATAATTCGACGAATAATGGGGCCGGTGAGGATAAGTGTAGGCGAATTTAGAAGATTAACCAATGAAGAAATTAAAGAAGTCATCGAGGGTGAAGACATAATCAAGTTCGTTAAGACGCAAAGGCTCAGGTGGCTGGGGCACACAGAAAGAGCTAACCCAGACTCTACGCTAAAGCGAATAACTGGATGGAGACCAACAACAAAGAGACCAAAGGGGAGACCCAAAACAAGATGGAGAGATCAAGTCTTAGGAGACATAAAGAAGCTGAGAATCTAGAAATGGAAGGAGCGCTGTAAGGATCGGAAAGAATGGAGGAAAATTGTAGACAGGTCCAAGTCACACACGCTGCTATAATAATAAAAAAAACAACAGCGGACTGATTCTCCGCAATAAATGAATCAGAGAGCCCAAAAGGGCGGCAAACACTCCGCCAGGAGTAAATAAGCCATGATGATGATGATGATGATCACTACAGCTGTTTCGGCTGATTGATTTATAAGCTGAAGAAGAAGAATGCATAACACCTTTTGTGAAGAGCATGGTTTCCGTCCTATCAGTGCTCATGCAGTGATAATTTTACATTCCCAGATATTTTATTCCCCTTGATTTCATTTTTCAGTACTCCATAAAGCCATAAGGCGGACCTTCTATTGAAACCCGTCGGTCTATTAGTGATTTTAAAATAAATCCTATATATTTTTGAGATTTCTAATGTTTAGCAACTATATTTTTTAATTTCAGGTTCAGTGTTTGGGTCGGCAAATACTTGAAGGTCTCCTTTTTTTACGAAATCGGTATTTTCCACCCATTTATCATCTTCACTCAGGTAAATATATATTTTTTATTTAAATTAACCGGCGACTAGATATTATTTAAAATCAAATAGAAATAAATATAAGGTTGAATGTTCGAATAAATGAACTTTGATGGTACACAAGGCAAATATCGAACACAGTATTTAATTAAATCTTGCCCAAGTACTTTCGATCACAAGATCATCTTCAGGGGCATTTCGTCAGTTGTGGCCTATCCAGCAATAACCGAATGTCGTAAATGTAAATTGGGACATAATAAATACACTAAACAAAGACAAACAAACACTTTAAAATTTAAAATTTCAGAAGCTACATTTTATATTATAGAAGCCGGAGACAGAATTGTAGCTTCTCCAATTTTAAATTTTAAAGTGTTTGTTTGTCTTTGTTTAGTGTATTTGTTATGTCCCAATTTACATTTATGACATTCGGTTATTGCTGGATAGGCCACAACTGACGAAATGCCCCTAAAGATGATGTTGTGATCGAAAGTACTTGGGCAAGATTTAATTAAATACTGTGTTCGATATTTGCCTTTGTACCATCAAAGTTCAAATAGAAATAGTCGGATGATTTTTCAGTAGATTATCTACTATGGATATGGAAGAAGGGCAGATGCATATACGCTGGTTAGAAATACGTGAAGCAAAGGTTATTACTTAAGAGTAACAATTTCGCCAATTGCCTAGAAATTTTAATTAAATAGCATTCGTAACTATGGCCTGAGTTCTACTGGGTCATGATGTTGCTGCTATAGATGTTTCTGTATGATTTTGATCACTGCAGCGAAAATAGGTTAAGGTGTTTTTGGTGATGATCCCATAATTTGATTTTAATATTCTAGATGTCAAAATATTGAATAAGTATGACCAGAAACGACGAAATACTTAAGTTGGACAAATAAAAAGGGAACACTGGCAAAGATTCTCAAAACAGATCAAACATGACTTCGACGGAGCACAAAAAGAAATATGGAGAATGATCAGAGGATAAAAAGAAATGAAATAACTAATGAAATGAACAGTTCATACAAAAAATATAACGGATTAAAGGTAACGATAATGAACCACCAACACCAGCGGTGACGACAAACAAAGAAATAAATATTAAGATGAAAGAGGTAAAGGAAGAATTAAGAGAATTAGTGGCAACGGTAGCTCAGTAGCTATGTTATTGGCCTAACAAGCTGGAGGGCCAGGGTTCGAATCCCGGCACCGACAAAATTTTCAATTTCTAATTTAACTAAGCTCCCACCGTGTTTCGGAAGGCACGTAAATCTGTCGGTCCCGGCTACGAAAGTATTCGTTAAGTCATGTTAGCGCGCGACCTGAAAATCCTAATACTAGACCTTAGCCAGAAGGTTATACGAAATTTATTTTTTATTAGAGAATTAAAAAATAGAAAACCGCCGAAAAAAAGAGGACAGAATATCGAACAAACTCCAAAAGTACGGAGGACCAGATCTGACCAAACAACTAATAAAAGGGTCCTAATATATTTCTTTAAAAAGAGAGACAAATCAGATCCAGCAAATTATAGAGGAATTAATGTATTAAACACAATACTAAAATTTAACAACGAAAGTAAATATCAAAAAATCTGAGTAAAATTATAAGACTAGCTAAAGAACAACAAGGTTTTATGTTGGGAAGATCATGCACTGATGTTATATTTATATTGGGGCAGTTGCAAGAGAAATAGTTAGAATAGAACAAACCAGCATATCTATGTTTCGTGGACCATAAGAAGGCATTTATCCGGGTCAACAGAATTTACAAAACAATCATCAGACCAATAATGATATAAAATACGCGGCAGGAATATGACCTGACACAGAGAGGACAAAAAAGATGTTAGAAACAGCAGAGATGAAAACACTAAAAACTTAATGGTAAGACACTATGGGACAGAGCTGTAAGTAGATTTATACGATGTAGATGCAAGGTAAAGAACATCAAGAACTGTGCGAGACATAGAAGAGTAGAATGGAACGATCATATAAGTAGAATGGTAACAAATAGTGTAGCAAAGACGACAAGAGACTGTTTCTCAATAGAAATACGATCCGTAGGGAGACCACGAAAACGATGGAATGGCAACATTCTGGGGGGACATTGAAAAATATATAGAGCCATATCTACATAAAAAGAAGACGAAAAGAACAAGAAGGAACCACCGACACTTGTAGTTATCGAAAGTGGTGAAGTGAGTTGACTTACCAATATTGTCAAATTATTGTACCAATCTGTCAGCTGCGCATCTTCTTAAGTGTCATTGCTTCGGTATAGATATAAAGATATCTTTGTACTTTTATGTCAAATATTGGTTCTTATTCATGCATTTAATAGAATACAAAGAGAAACCAACTAATCGATGTTGCTTTCACTAAATAAATTTAACACTTTTGGGAAGACTTATTCTGGTTCGTTTTCTTTTAACGATTTGATTCCATTTTAGACTTAACGTTTTAATATAGTCTATATTCCATTTTAACAGATTTATTCGGATATGGCGGTTTAAATATTGGTTACAATTTTTTGCTTAAAGAAAAATAATAAGCAAGCTCTCCTTGACGTATCATTTTGATTTTTTTTACAGATCTCCGAGATTTAAACGCACTCGCGTTTACTCTTACACTTTGAAACCACCATCTGCAGTCAAGGATCGAGATTCCTCCATCATTCTCATTAAAAATTCAGGATGTTCAATCTCTCTTTTAAAGAAAATGTAGGTCATCTCAAATATCTTTTGTACATGCATACAATCCCAAAGCTTCGGAAATCTTTCAAGATGTGCTTGAAAAAGAAGCCAATGTTTATTTGTGGGCAGTTAATATGACATGCCAGTTTTTCTTTTAAATCAGGATCTCAAGGATTCGACGGTTCGTTAATAGCTGTTCCTACTATGTGTCCATCATATTTACACCTGGCAACAAGTGTTATCCCTTCGACCATTTTCTGTATCGCGATTTAATCCATTATTGAATTTTGATGTAAACCTATAGAGTAACACGTTGGTTCAAAATTATAGTAGTACTGGTGTATATTTAAAAACATGTATAAATAACTATGCCAAAATACTAGAAAGTATGAACCAGTACCACTATAATTTTGTGCCTACGTGTTACTCTATAGGTTTACATCAAAATTCAATAACGGATCAAACCGATGCAGAAAATGGCAGAAGGGATGACACTTGCCAGGTGTAAATATGATGCACACGTAGTAGGAGCAGCTATTAACGAATCGTCGAATCCTTGGGATCCTGATTTAAAAGAAAAACTGACATGTCATTATAACTGCCCACAAATGAAACATTGACTTCTTTTTCAAGCACATCTTCAAAGATTTCCGAGGCTTTGGGATTGTATGCATGTACAAAAGATATTTGAGATGACCTACATTTTCGTTAAAAGAGAGATCGAACATCCTGAATTTTTAATGAGAATGATGAAGGAAACTCGATCCTTGGCTGCAGATTGTGGTTTTGAAGCTGTAAGAGTAAACGCGAGTACGTTTAAAATCTTGGAGATCTGTAAAAAAAATGATAATGATACGTCAAGCAGAGCTTGCTTATTGTTCTTATTTAAGCAAAAAAGTCTATATTCCGTTTAGTTAATAGCAAATTACTGTATAATATATTTTCTTCTATCCTATCGTATCTATATCTACGATATGACAGAATAACTATCTTGACTAATTTAATAATGGACGTTCTATGTATTTTTTTATTGTAATATGCACTTTCTCTAGCTGTACAATAAAATTATAGGTGTCTTGTATTACCCAAATAAGACACAGCATAAAATTTACAAAAATATAACTTAACTGACGAAGTTCTTTAATGTAAAATCTAATGTGGCTATTAATGTCCTTTTAGGAAATGTAATAATCCAAAATGGAGTTGCCAGATTAGCTGGACTAGAGAATCCATTACTTGGTTTACTACCTAAAGCCCCTTCTGCCCCAGAAACTTTATCGTTTGGCTATCTCTTATTTGAGATGACAGCTGGATATGAATTGCCCGGCCCTCCCTCCCCCGCTCATTTGCAATTAGAACTTGAAAGGGCGCCCAAAGTTGCTGAAGCCTTGGAGTACATTTTCCAAACTTCCAGGACACCATCGTTGGACGAACTTGTCAGGTAAACAAAAATAACACAAAGAGTAATGAATAATTAGCAAAAGTTTAACTTCTGCGTTTAAGCTATATGTAATTTTTTTCAAATACACAAATGACAAAAAACTCGAATCGATAAATTTTTATGATTACAAATCTTGAATATGTCCATTTCAAATAGGTAAAAAAAAATCAGAATAAGACTTACTCACAATCAATATATTCTACCACCAACGACCGGTTTCGCATACCATAATTTGCTATGCATCTTCAGGTCAACGGTACATAGTAAATTAAATGCTGAAAATACAATAACCCGTGTTAGGGTGCTGTCTGGTACAGAGTATACAGCCATTATGCCAATTAAAAAATTATTTATATTTATTGTGAGTTAGTTTCCTTCTTATTTCTTTTTACCTAATACATTATTAAGTATTTCTATCTTGAAAACATGATTCAATCAAAGTATTGTAAAAATTTCAAATAACTATGTTATAGATGTGATCTTTTCCGTGGAGTTGAATTAAGGGAACTTAGAGGTGCCAGTATCATACAAAGTGTATCACCACCAGATGTTCTTGATCTTTTAGAAATGGTAAAAAACCCCGTGCCACCATCACCTTTAAGGCGGTAAGGTTATATTTTCTAAATATGTTTGAATCTCTGTAGCATATAAAACTAGTAAGTTTCAAAAACCAATAGATTTTTACCAAAAGTATGTTTTAACGTATATACCAAAAAGATCTTAATAAAACAGTGCATCGAGTACAACATACTACTGTTTGTTGCATTTGTCGATTACGAGAAGGCTTTTGATTCTATAGAGTTTGAAACAATACTGCAAGCCCTAATTCAAAGCCGAATAGATTACAGGTACAAGACACTAATAAAAAACATCTACGAGAACGTTACATCAAGTACCTATACGACTACATGAAGACAAAGAAAAAGTCAGCATAGGTCGAGGAGTTCGACAAGGAGACAATATTTTACCAAAATTGTTCACGGCAGCTCTAGAGTCAATATTTAAGAGCACTTAATGGCAATATATGGGCATCAATATAGATGGAGAAAGATTAAATCACCTAAGGTTTGCAGATTATGTTGTATTAATGGCAGATAAATTACATGTTACAGTTTCTATGATACATTCGCTTAAAAGTATGTCTGAAAGAGCAGGATTAAAGATAAACTTTTTGAAAACTAAACTTATAACAAATCTTGTAATGAGTGGAAATATAACTATTGACAATAATACCATATAACAAACAGACACTTACAAATATCTGGGACACGAAATCAAAATAAGCAGAGAGAATTAAACACATGAAATACAGGAATACAATTCATATATCGTAGAATAGGATACACCCCATTCTACGATATACATGAAAAGACTGCTATCCTTTAAAGGACTATATGCCCTTTGTAATATAATGATCAAAAATCATTCTATATGATTTTTGATTGTTGATATATAAAAAATGATTTTTGATCGTTATATTACAAAGGGCATACAGTTCTTTAAAAGATAGCAGCCTTTTCATATATCGTAGAATGGGGTTCGGATAGATTTTCCCGGTCAGATGAATGAAAATCACTAGGTTCTCGGGAAGAACCGCGTTTCTTTTGTTTTAGTATAACATTAACTTAATAGTTTTTTGCACATTTTGATCCACATACACAGTATCAAGAGCGTTATTTTCATTAGATTAATTAAAAAAACATTAATAGTAACTATTTTAATATTATTGCCTTTACGGAAATGATAAAAAAATTAGGACGCATATCTTTCAAACCTAATATTAACAAAAACCAATTCTTATCATTTCGTTAGTCAAATTGTTAAAATGGTTGCCTATAAAACTAATGAACTAAGATAATTAATACTATTTTATTAGTTTTGTTTGCTTCAGAGATCAATTTTGCCAGACTGGGTAACTGTACATATTTACTATATAATTTCAATAGAAACTTTTTTATTTCCTGGGTTTGTCGGTCTGTTGTAAATAAAACCACTTAAATATTGCTTAAACGTTTCGGCATATTGTTATTTTCAATAAGCACTTTATTTTATAAACTGTATTGGTTCATAAAATAAAGTGCTTATTGACAATGGCAAATATCTTCCATATGCGGTGTAGGTTTTTTTAGTATCCTAAATTCTGCGTAGACATCTTTTATCAGGTCTTCTTTAGTCTTTTAGGACTCTTGTATCTGTTCCATCGCATAATACACCACACGCTTCCTTCAATTCCTTTCTTTTTTTTTAACTTATTTTTTGCAATCATTTCATGATCCAAAAACATCATCTTGTTTGTAGTAGTAACTTCATCTTTAAATGAATATTCCAGTTACTCCTCCCTTCCTGTTTTTGCCCTACAAAGTTTTAATTATTTTTCTTCAAGAACTTTGACTCTTGACTCTTGACTCCTTTAACATTAAATTTTTAAGTTTCTTCCACACCTGTCCTGACACTATTTGTTACCTTCTCATACATATCTCGCACAATCATCACATACTCACATTTGTGGCCCACAGGCACGAGGGCCACATGCGACCCTTGGCACCCTTGGCTTGTTAAAGGGCGGCCCCCGCAAACACATTTCAAAAATATTGCCATTGATAACTTTTGCCCGTTCTAACCATGTCTAACTTTCCGTCATCTTCAGAAAGTAGTTAACCTTGAACACCCACCCCGACAAGCGGGCAGTTAACTTCAGTCAGCTGCACGTGTTGTGTTAAATTAACAGTGGCGAATAATTGAATGTTAAATTCAGAATGAGTAGTACTAAAAACGCAAAATTTTCAACGAGAATCGTACGTTCCAAGAAAAATGGGAAAATCAATATTTCTTCATTGAATTAAAATGCCTCAGTGCATTATTTTGTTGTCAAGTACTCGCAGTATAAAAAGAATACAATATTAGTAGGAATTATGAAACCCAGCACAAAACAAAATACGACAAATATCAAGGTGAAGCTCGCAATACTCTTATAAAAGAACTTAAAGCTACATTGAGTAAACAAAAATCTCTATTTAAAAAACCGACAGCTGTTCAATAATCAAGCCTAGCAGCATCATATAAAGTATGTTAAGAGCTTGTCAAAAGTAAAAAAGCATTTAGAGATGGAGAAATGATCAAGCGGTGTGCCATTAAAATGGCGCAATCCTTTGGAGATGAAAAGATGGCCAAAAATTTTGAATGTGTTTCAGTTCGCCATTAAACTGTATCTAGAAGAATTGACAAGCTGAATGCTCATGTATTTAAAAAAATGGTCGACACGTTAGTGATTGTTTATATTCCTCCTTAACCCTGGACAAATCTGTTGATATTACTGACAAAAATCAGCTATTAATTTTTATTAGATGCATCAGGAAGATTTTTGTATAATTGAGGAACTTCTAAAACTGCACCACATGGAAGACGGGACGAAAAGTATAAATATATTTAAAGCAGTTAGTGACGCTGTGAAAAATATAGGCGGTTTTCAAAAGTGCTCTTGCGTTTGCACCGATGGAGCAAAAGGAGTGATGGGACGCATATCGGGATTGGCTGGACTTTTGCGGATAAATGGTGTTAACTGATTTATGTTTCCTCCTTAAGAGGAGGAAACAGAGCTCAGCGACACCAAAAATTCATCTTTTTCTTGGAGGAATTAAATACTGAATATATGGACGTCCCCCTACATTAAGAGATACGCTGGTTGAGTGCAGATAAATGCCTTAGAACTTTTTTTTTTAGAAAAGAGATCTTACTGTTTTTTGAAACGAAAATTGTTATTAACACGAACGTATTTATAATAAAGCTTGAGAACAAAACATTTCTTAATGAACTGGCATTTCTAACAGACATTACCTCTCACTTAAACACATTAAACCAGCTCCAGCTGCAACTCCAGGTGAAAAATAAGACAGTATCACACTTAGTTGGTCAAATTGGGAGATTTCACAAAAAACTTGATCTTTTCGATAACTGCATAAAAATAAACGACCTCGCACATTTTCCTGCGTGTTTCGAAATAAATCAAGAAGAAACCATGGTCGACTTCTCCAGGTTTGCAAAAGTTCTTACAGAAATAAAAAGAGAATTCGATGAAAGGTTTTCGGATTTTGATGCACTAAAACCCGATCTTGAGCTTTTTAACAATCCAATGGGAGGTAACATCCAGAACCAATTAGCAGAATACCAATTAAAGTCTGCAAACTACAGTCCGATTAGTTTTTTCAAGCAAAGAAACATGAAGACATTAGTACCTTTTGGAAATTAGTCTCCAAGGATTGTTTTCCTAAACTTCGTAACTTTGAGTTGAAACAATATTCAATGTTTTGGTAGTACGTATATTTGTGAAAGTACATTTTCTGCTTTGAAGCATAATAAATCTAAAACAAGTAATCGCATGGAAAACGATTTTGTGGAAGCGTATATTAGACTCATTAGGACTAGCATAGATATAGATGTATAAAAGTTAGTAGCGGATCAACCTGGCCACAAATATCCCATTGATTTTTTATTCTATGTTAAATTTTAAACATAACATGTAAATTGTAAACAATAATAAAATACTTGTAAATAATATTTCGTTTGTATATTATTTTTTTAAGAACGAGTCGGGTTATCTGGCCCTTCATAATTATTTCAAATTTAAAACTACCTGCAACGTCTAAAAGGTTGCACCACACTGATATAACCTCTCAAGGATTTTTACCATAAGCTTCCCCAGGATCAATTAGTGCAAAAGGTGCGATTGATTGTTTCTTTACTTATAACTGCCTCTCTTTGTACAACTAATCTTTTGTTTTTTGGTATTTTTTTTTATTTTTTCGGAAACTAGTATTTTATTTTTTAACTTCAAGAGTTGAACTTTAGAGTTAAGTAAAAATATTTCTTACAAGTAAGATGTATATTTTTGTTTAAATTTTCTTCTATTCAACTATTTTTAAGTTAGTTTTGAATATGAAAAGCCTTTATATAACATGAAATGCAGTAACCCAGTCCGGCTCTGACCTAGAATAAGAAGCACGCTATTAAGACAAAAAAGAATTAGAATACATATTGTGCATGCAGTCGACACTTTGCAGATGATTTAGAACCGTGGTTTGCATGAAACCCGAAGTTGGCACGAGCACTGCGATACTGGTAAGAATAATATGTAAAATGTGCTAATTGCTTGTTGAGTAGGTGATATAAATTTAACGTTTCGTAGAATTTAATTTCAGATGTATGAAGTATTAAAATTATTTTAGCAATAATCAAGTATCATAACAATAGCATCAAAAGAGTATAAAAATACATATTGGATTAAATATTTAGTATAACGAGGGATGGAAAATTCTCGGAATAAAAAAATTGAGAATATTCTCGATAATGAACATTTTATGAGAACAATTTACCACAAGTACCAAAACTAATACAAAATCTAAGATTTTATTGAATATTAAATAAACCAAAATATAACAAATTATGTTCCATTTTTGGTGTTAAATGAAATAACTAAATATTCTCGTTTTTTTCAAACGAATACAAAACAAAATTACAACTTAAACAACCTTAATAAAAGAAAAATTATATTGAGACTCGGACTCATCAGCATCGTCAGACTGCAGTACCATTCTCACCGCCTCTATCTTTTCAAGACTCTCCTGTTAGTACAATGTAGATGGGTTCTCTTCTTCATCCTCGGACCTCATGGACATCGCTGATACCTGGTCCTGGTTCAGGTATCATTACACATTTAAGTGGCAACATTTATCCTGATAATACTAGAAAACACCATCGAACCTTTAATAGTGCATAAATTAGAGAAACAAAGGGACGATCAAGGCAACCTAGCTCTAGACGAAGATTTGCTGCACTTACAGCAATATGTAGCAATTCATTACTATGCAGCTTCAGTTAGGCACTGGTTGGATACTATAATTCGAACAAATGGATTGGAAGAAGAAGTCCCATTGAGTAACCATCGAGGTCACCACACTTACCACCACCTGCTTTTTTCTATAGGGTTACTTTAAGTCAGTTGTTTATAAAACTCAACCTGCCTCACTTGGGGAATTGCAAGAAAGAATTACGCAAGAATGTCTCGCTATTACTAGATCAACATTAGCCAAAGCTCGTGCAGAATTTGAAAATAGTACGTATTATTGTTTAGAAAACAACGGAACCCACTTTGATCATTTACTTAAATGACATTTTTAACAAATTTGTAGTTCGAGAAAAACCTTATTAAATTTTTTATTTAAGTCAAAGTTTTATAATTATTGATTCACCCTGTATAATTATTATTTATACCATTGAATAGCATTTTTTATAATCTTTTTAATGATCTCTCACAAGTAGGGATTTGGTGAACTTTTGACTTTTACTTGATACTTTTTTGGTTGTAGTGGGTGTGGCCTAATGGGTTGAGATGGGAGTGAATTCTCTTTCATGTCATTTTAGTTCCCCCTTAATACCCGAGTAGCTGTTTCAAGCATTTTTCGGTATCAGCTTTTTTAAGTGAGATAAAGCTTAATTTAAGTTTTAAAATTGATACCCTGTATAATACTCCTAGCTCTTATAAGACAGTTTGCAACAATAATATAAAAAATAAAAGAAATAAAACCACAATTGTTTTTTTAAGTTTTATATTTATTACACAATATCCTACTAGATCTAGTGCTACTCCATAAAATTATATATCGCACAAAATCTTTCGTAATCACTTCTTAGATTTATGTGAGACGTTTAGGAATTTGGAAAAGTTCCGAGTTTCTTTTATTACAAATCGGAGAACACAATTTATGTTTAAAGATAAATAAAGCTTCCACTCCATTTATTTAACTCTGACATTTTGTTTCACAAAAAATTTAGAATTTTTTTTCTTGCAAAATCTCTGCAACATATATTTCAAAAATATATAAATTTAAATAAAAAAAAAATAAATTTAAAAAATATATAAACTAAAAATAAATTAGTCCCAAAAATATGATTTTTTAAAATTATTGGTAATAATTAAAGCATATCGATTACATCGGCAATATCGTTTTGACCGAAATGCGAAATGTACAGTTGGTTCTTAAAAAAACTGATACGACCCTTAAAGCTTATTTTATAGAAAATTGAGCAGTGTATTTTGAAGGATAAATACTTATTATTTACATACTGTTACTGTCACTGCCAAATCTTAAAATTTGTCAGATAACTTTTTGTCCTGTAATACCTCGTGCATTCAATATCTTTGTCGGTGGATTGGAAGGGGTCGTGACGCACCTATTTCTTGGCCACCCAGAAGTCCAGATCTTAACCCCATGGACTTTGCTTTTGAGGGTTTATGAAAGAGAGTGTATTCTGTAACAATAGAGTGTAACGAGTCCGTCACTTCAATAATCCTTTAAACATTTTTAAATAAAAATTTTAAAATCCGAATCCTCTTAATTATTTCCTTAATTTTGAATTTCTAAGTTGGTATTAAACAGCGACACCTGCGGCGCTGTAGCGTGACATGATTATTATCGGCTAGCAATTAGCGCTCATTCTGGTTTTAACTTTTTAACACTACACAAAAGGTGTAGGCGGCAGGAGAAGGCTAAATTTGTTTTAAGAATATTAATTTTTTTTGGGAAGAAAATGGAAAGATTTTAGTTGTTTTGTAGTGTATACCCTTTGATTTATAGTCACTTCTAGCCGCCTACCTAAGAAGTTAAATCAAGAGTCAAGGATTTTTTTCATTTTTTTTGGGGATTTATTAAAAGAGAAAAAAAATAATTACGTTTTCAATTTGCACATTTGCCCGTCACTTTTAGCTGTTCCATCAGAGGTCCAGATCTCTCTAAGACTACTCTCGGACCACTTCAGGGAACCAGCCAGAAAGACCTCCCTTATTTAGAGTGTGGAACATTGTTCATTTTTATATTGTTTTATTCATTAATTGTTAATAATTTTTTTATAATATTTTTTTTCTCAATCTTAAATCATACTATTTCATTTAATAATAAAGACCCGTCATTTTTTTTAAATAATTATAAATAACATAAGCACTAAAATTGTCAACTACAGGTCGCGGTTTTAAATAATCCCTTTTAACTCAGTTGTACGGTTTTATGTGTACACATTTAATCAGAGAGTTATTTATTAACATTTTATTATTGTTATATATTTAAACATTTGGACATCTATCCCGTCAGGATAGTGTCCTTATTACTTGTCAAAACATTCAATTGAAAGCCGAAATACCGAGTTACATCTCTAATAGGCAAGTAAATTACCTTTTTAGTCATAGTCAGTAAATTTATTCTTATATTTTATAATTTATAAATTCAGATTATCAAGGATCAGTTGTGTGTAACCATAGTATTTATATTCTTTTTGTATATAAGTAACTAGATTAACTGTACATAATTGGTGGTGGGTATTTTAGGGTAAATTTAGACTATATATTTGAATAGGGATTAAATTTTTGGTGAAAACTAAATATTTCAATTAATACCTGTTTCGTTCTTTATTTCAGCAAACAACTTTATAAGATACCTTGGAAAGTTTATGTTAATACTTTCCTGGCGCCCACTCACATTTTGGAGCAACTTCTATAATCATTTTTATTTACATTAGTTATATACCTATAGATTGTTTATTATCTTGTCATTCATTTTCTTATTCTACGGTCTCTGTAGGGAATGCAAATTGGCCGAATCCTCCTTTGAGTGTCAAGTAGTCACTCTCCGGCACCTTCTGCTAGCCAGCTTTAAATTATATGTTATCTTTTACATTACCCCAAATACTTGTGTTACATTACACACTTTTATTACATTGGCGTCCTAAACCTCGAAGTCCACACATTTTTTGTTACAAGAGGACGAACAACAATTGAGGGTTAGAATAGATTAAGCTGCAAATCAATTTCGTCAAAAAATATGAATTTTCAGCGCATTCGGTTTTCCTTATTAAAGCGATACCGAATGTGTATTAAAGAAAATGTGAAATATAAATTTATAGAGGTTATAGACATTTTTTGTACTTGTTAATTTATTTAAGCCATTTACTTAGTTGGGCGTAATTTTTTAAAGGTTAATGAAAAGAGCCTTAACTCAATAAAAAATGTTTTTTGAAAAAAGTGATAAGTGATAAAGTTTTTTTAAAAAATAATGTGTTAAACTAATGATGCCACAAAATTCATTTGATTTGAACGTACTTAAAAGTTTGGGGGATTTAGGGCTGCACACCCCCCTTAAAATTTTTCTGTGCTCTTAGATTTTTTTGTTTCTTTTTATTAAAAATACTTTTAAAATAAGAAGGTAACGTGTTCATTTTTATTACAAAATGTCAAGTAGTTTAGGAGATTATAAAAAAAATTTATTTTGTATCTTCAAAGGGCTGTACCTTTTTTTGTCTACATTTTTGTACGCAGATAAGTCGGATTCAATCAATTTATTTTTGTCCCGGAATGCATGATTGAATTTATGACATACCTTTTTGAAACACCCCGTATAATATATTGTCAGACCAATCAAATACACTGCTAAAAATGATCAAATCTTACTAAGAGCCGTATCGGTTTTTTTTAGGAACCAGTTGTACAAACAAAGTCGAAACGTAAAAGATTAGTTAGTTAAAAAGTAATTATCATTACAATCAATAATTGTGGCTTAATCCAATATAATTATAATATCATATAGGGTAAAGTGTGCAAATCGCGGTCACCTAAGAAGAAAATTTAATATAAAAAAAGTAAAACTCTGTGAATCAAATTTAAGCCGTCAATCCGTAATTTGGGGTTTTAACTTATTGCAAGATACATTTAATTTCAAAAATATAAAATTTTTGTCTTTGACAGAGACAAAACATAAAAAAGTATCTTTGACCGGTATTGTCACCATACATGGACAATACCGGTCATGAGTGTGGGTAATGCCAGTCAATTTGTTTGTGTTATTATTAAAATAAAAATCAATATCTATTTAACATTTTTTTGTTATAAAACGATTAACGAATGTGGCTTAATGGGTCATAATTCAAGTAAATCAGTAAGAAAGGTGAAAAAATATTTTTTATTACAAAACAAACAAAAAATAACAAAAATATGTGTTTTAATGTAAAAATAGTTGACAGTCATCGCAGGTATAACTCTCTGCAGAATCCCATCCACTGCACTCTGAATAAGC